TCTCTCTCTCTCTCTCTCTCTCTCTCTCTCTCTCTCTCTCTCTCTCTCTCTCTCTCTCTCGGTCTTCTTCTTCGTCGTGGCCTTCTCTGCAGGTGCGCGGCGGCTTCTCCAACCTCAGGTCCGCTATGGCGGACTACAACCTTCGGTGGCCACCTCTGCTATGGCGCATCACCCTGCGACACACAAATCGGCGTGCATGGAATAGCAGGTACCAGCTCCGATACCCATGCAATCAGAGTGTAAACAGCAGCGCAGCAAACTGGCGACATGTGCCCAGATACGAGTTCACTTTCAACTGGCTATGACGATTCAGCGCCCAAACAACTGACTGTTCACATACACCGGATCACCCTGGATATCGCACACGCGTCACTCTGAACACTCACACATACACACACACACTTCACACTAACTACAGCTATGGCAGCTATGGCTGCCTCTACCCCATCGCTATGCCACGCTCCTCTCTCGCCCACTTCAGCTCCGGGCTCTCTGCAGACCTCCTTGCACAAGTCGCTGTGGCAGCGCTTCCGCATGGCTCACGCAGGAATGAATGAAAGGCTGGGCGCTGCCTCTTGATTTATACTTCGGAAACTCGTTGGTCTGCCCTTTGCCATGGGCCCATGGTGCTCACARTCCCCCGTKGTACTTGCTGGACCGGACWGGGACTGACTGGACCTTACCGCAGACTGACTGTGGAYTCACTGCTAACCTACCGTAGTCGTACTGCAATTGCGCTGCAGTTTAGTCCACCACTTGACTCGCCACTTGACCACTTGCCCACTTGCCGACCTTCTAGAAGGACTACAGCTAGACTTCTGGAACTCGCTAAGACTTCTACTCTATAGACCTACAGATCGAACCCCTGCTACCTATGGACCTATGACAGACCTACCAACTGTCTACGAATATACAGGTCACAGGTTCAACTCTCGGGGTCTACACCGGTACTGTACATGGGTAGGGCGAGGTGTAGGGATCGAACCCTGGGTACTGCATCTGCTACTGCTAAAAGGTGAAAACCGTTTCACTCCCGCCGTCCTAAATTTGAGGTCCTCCGAGAATATTTCAGTCCAAGGCAGGACCTTTACCCTTCTTACCACGCTCATAGGCTCTGACTATGTCGGGAGCTGTTTCTAGAAGTTCTGTCCTAGTAAACCAGCGGTCGTCCTCCGGTTCCTGATAAGCAAACCGGACCTTATACTGTTTCTGTGGACGGCCTCTACGTCCTGTTCTAAAGACATCTTCATCCACAATGCCGTCAATGTCATAGCTTCCATCCATGTCCGGGGGGATCATGGATCTTCTTGAAGGGAACTGTTGATTTGTGACACATGGCAGCAGCTTTGAAGCATGAAATACAGGGTATGTGTGGAGGTGTGCTGGAAGCTATGACATCCTCTCCGCCCTTAACTTCTAGAACCGGCCACGGTCCTCTATATGCAGGCTGTAACTTCTGCGAGATGTTTTCCTCAGGTGGAAACTCTTTAGCCTTGACCCAGACTAAGTCGCCTACCTGAAGCTGCGGTACGCGACGATGCTTGTTTGCCTGTTCTATCATTCTGTGCTGGGCCTTCTTGAGGTTTTCAACAACTGTTGCTAGCTCTTTCTCGTGCTGTACTGCGAACTCCCTGGTGCTGGGCGATAGCATGTGAATCTGATCCCGGTTCAGTCCTTCGAATGGTCTGCGCGGCCTAAAGGACTTGTGCAGCTCATTGGGAGTGCGACATGTGGACAAATGCACGCTGTTGTTGTATGCGCTAGCTACTTTGGGCAACATCTCGTCCCAGTTGATCTGATCAGGTCTAATGTACACGCGCAGAACTTGCTGTAGGATCTTGTTCATCTGTTTTGTCTGACCGTTTGTCTCTGGATGGCGGCCAGATGACATCAATAGATTAGATCCGTAGACTCTCATGAGTTCTTGCCAGTTCTGGCTGGTGAAACGACTGTCTCTATCGCTAACTATTGACAATGGGATTCCATTCTCACTAACCCAAAAGTCAAAGAACTTCTGTATCACTAAATCCGTACGTGCCTCTGCAGGTAAGGGAACAAAAACAGCATACTTGCTGGACACTGAGTCTCCAGGTTGATCAGGAATAGGCAGCGGTCTGAGAAGACCTAGGGGCGTGCGTGTAGTAGTTTTATTCCTCTAGCACACTTTACAACTGCGAACATACTCTATGCAGTCATTCTTCATCCCTGGCCACGCACGCATCAGATTGGCTAATGTCTTCTGCCAACCAAAGTGTCCCTCTGTGTCATGGCATTCCCCTAAAATCAAACTGCGGATCTCTTCGCTGTGGGGAACGCACATGCGGTCAAACACATTAGTCTTCTCAAATAGCAATCCCTCAGTAGTGCGGTAATCTGGTTCAGTCTCTGGGGCCTCCCTAACTCTCTTTAGGAGGTCACTACAGATGGGGTCCTGCGAATACGCTTGCTTCACTTTCTCCTGCAGGTCTCTCCCTATATCCAGGTAGTGTACTATAGCTCCAAAGTAGTTTGATCTTCTACTCAGAGCGTCCGCAACTACATTGTACTTGCCCTTTACTAGCTTGAGCTCAAAATCATACTGGTCTATCTCTGCGGCCTTGAAGTGCCTCCCAAGCAGGTAATGCTTCCAGTGGTCTAGAGCCTGCCAGAGAGCGTAGAGTTCTCTCTCATACATCGAGGTAGCGACCTTCTCAGAGGGCATCCTCGCTGACATGAACTTTACGGGTCTGTAGCCATTGCCGTCGTCTTGCTGCAACACGGCGCCTATACCATACTTACTCGTGTCCGTGGTGACGACAAATGGCAAGGACGGATCAGCTACTTTGAGGACAGGGTACTCTATCAATGCACGCTTCAACTTCTTTAGCGCAGACGTACAATCTTGGTACCATTGCCAGATTGCCTCTTTCTTAAGCAACCTGCGCTGGGGAGCGGCAATAGTAGAAAAGTTCCTCACGAACTTTCTATAGTAGTTCGCAAGGCCTAGGAACGACCTCAACTCTGTCAATGTGCGGGGCGTCGGCCAATCTCTAATCGCTGCTATCTTGCTGTCCTCTGGCTTAATGCCATCTACGTCCAATACGTGGCCAGTACAGGACTTGTGTCTTGGCCTACTCGCACTTCTTTGCGTTGATCTTGAAGTTAGCCTCTCGTAGCTTCTCCAAGACCTGCCTCAGATGACCCTGGTGCTCCTGGAGGGTCTTACTGAAAACTAAGATATCATCTTAATAAACTACTACGAACTTGTCTAACCATGGCCTAAACAGGTCATTCATACAACGCTGAAAAGTGGCTGGTGTGTTGGTTAGTCCAAAGGGCATTACTATGAACTCATAGTGCCCATATCAGGTCCGGAACGCAGTCTTGTACTGGTCATCAGGATGGACTTCTATCTGATGATATCCGGACTTCATATCTATCTTAGAGAAGTACTTGCAACCCTGCACCCGATCTAGGAGATCGTCTATCATGGGCAGGGGTTCAACATTCTTCACTGTGATAGCATGCAAACCCCTATAGTCTATACACATACGAAGCTCTCCTTCCTTTTTCGGGACAAACAAGACAGGTGCTCCAAAAGGAGACGAACTGGGCCTGATCCAACCTTTCTCGAGGAGCTCATCTAACTGCTTGTGCAGCTCCTCTAACTCTCTAGGGGACATCCTGTAAACTGCTTCCTTAGGAGTTCTACTGCCAGGCTCTATCTCTATCCTGTGCTGGATGGGTCGCGACACTACTCCTGTCGGCGACTCAGTCAAGTCGTGGAATTCTTCCAGCAGCAATGGTTGGGTCTGTGGAAGTCACCGCTTCCTTAGCCTCAGTGGCAGGTCTAACATAAACTACAAAGACCTGTTCCTCTAATCGCTCCTTCTTCACTAATCGTGCGAACGCGGGAGCACTGAGACAGCAATGTGCTAAGGTGTTATCTACACGTGACACATGAAACAGGCGGGCAATCTTAACCTCGCCTGACGGGTTAGGGAGCCTACACTCATGCTCTCTCAAGTGGAGTGTGGCCCCTGTTGCCTCTCCCCAATCCATTCCTAGCACTACATCAAAAGGAAGGTCATCCTGTACGAGGAGAGTCAGGGAATGGAGAACTTTCTCCACCTTCCCATCCTTCTCTAGGCGAAAGTACGCCTGGACTCCCTCTACATAGTCCTCAACACGCATCGTGCGGTTGTCTGCGAGGACTTTTCTCCACCTTCCCATCCTTCTCTAGGCGAAAGTACGCCTGGACTCCCTCTACATAGTCCTCAACACGCATCGTGCGGTTGTCTGCGAGGACACTGACTATAGGGTCTGCTAACTTCTGGACTTTTAGTCCTAGCCTCAACTTCTTCAGCGCCCTACGGCTAATATAACTGCAGGTGGCCCCTGAGTCTATAAGGGCCCCGACTCTACTTCTAAACACCTCTACGTCTACTAAGATCAGTTGTCCCTTACTCTCCTTTTTCATTTTGGCCCAGGCTGGCATTCTCTCCTTCAGCCCATCTGCCACGCCTGTGAGGGACGTGCCTAGAGAGACGCTAATACAAGCGGTCTCTGGACAGCTAGCTAGGCACGGACCTGCAACGTCTGCCATAGGCTCATGTGGGTTGGGAGTGTCCTGTCCGCGCGCGCTCACTTCTCCACCTGGCCTTGAAGTAGGGGCAGTTGCGACCCCTACTGGCGGCTGCCTTTTGACTGCTGAGCAACCCATCGGGCCTGTCTGTACTGTGGACAAAATTTAATTACGTGGGCCGGGTCACCACAAAATACGCATTGACCCAAGTTCACGCGTTCCTGCCATACGAGTTGGTCCAAGCCCAAGTCTTCCCAGGGCCTGCCCTGTGGCAAGCCTGGGTGCCATCCTCCTTGAGGTGCCCTTCCACCTCTTCGCTGCGGGGACCGATTAGAACCCTGGGGATTTGGCGGGGGACCTTGACCCCTACCTCCCACTTGGCGGTTCCCTTGTCCGCCAACCCCCTGTGCGCCCAGTCCTCGGCCTCCCATGGCCTGGCCCCTTTGGCCCTGGCCTCCTCTCACTGGCGGCCTCCCTCCAGCCGCGACAGCAGCATAGGACCTCCCCTGCCCCATACTACTGTCCTCCTCCTTTAGGCCCCACTCAATCTAACTGTATGGGACCTCATCTGTACCACCTTCCTCTGAAGTAAGGATCATGTGATCCTTGGCCCTCACCTGGCCTGAGATGGTACGACCTTTCCACCTTTTTCCCTTATCCAGGTCCTTATGCCAGAAGGTGGTAACTGGCATGGACTTCGACTCATACAGGACTACTTCCCTACTCAACGCATCATAAGTGATGTCGGCCCATTAAGACTTGTCAAAGAAATGCCCACGCAGGGCCTCTGGCATGGCACGATAAAATAATTGGACCAGTTGGGTCTCAATGACCCCATGGTCTCGGACGGCTACAAAGTCGTCCATGGTGCCCTTGAGTGCTCTTGTACTCCTCCACTGTCGCGAGTGGATCGTTTGTAGCTGGTCAGAGGCCCTGACGCCTCTTGTTGGGTCTGCAAATTGCTCCCTCAGAAGCTTGAAGAACTGAGGAAGGGAGGCGACTCTAGAGTAGGCAACCAAGTTGTTATCACAACCGGCTGCGCGTGCAAGGGATCTGGCGAAACTAGCCGCCTCATCCTTAAGGGGCCTGGAAGGCCACGAGGACTTGTTCCTCTGTCAAGATGTGTTGTAGATACACGTAACTATTGACACTAGCCTCCCAGTTGTCAAAGTCCTCCTCCTTCTTCCCTCCATATGCATCCGGGAATTTAAGCTTAACGGGGTCCTTGCGAGGCCTGGCCTCGCCCTCTACAACGGCTATTGCTTTGGCGCCCTTGATAGCGCCCTCACAAAACTTCCCCACATTGTCTCTCAGTTGCTTAACTTCGCCCCCAATGTGGGTGACTATATCGCGCGCAAACTCTCTAAATCCTGACCGCATGGCACTCAAGGCTACTTCTTGGCTCCAACTAGCTTGGCGCTCCTCCATCCATGTTGTGCTCAGCACCTCCAGGTACCCCAATACCTTATCCCATTTGGCCTTATCATATGTCTGGGCCTGCACTTCTTTCCTACAGTCTTGCACCTTCGCCACCTCTGCGGTCAGTTTGTTGACTTCCTCTCTCCTCCTCTTCTTTTCCCTCTTCATCCTCAATTTCCATGCCAACTTCTGCTCCTCCTCCCTTTCTCGCCGTTCCAGAGGGTCCTCCATTGCTGCTAGCTCACTGGCTAGTGCATCCCTCTCATCCTGAGTCACATAAGACTTCGCCTCCTCGTCTTCTCCCAACGATAAATTAGCGACCCACTCACTTATCCTCTTCTCCATCTCTGCATCTGTATCCCTCTTTGTGCCACTACTCCCTTCTCCTCCTTCAATACATTTTCTTTCTTTTTCTTCTTTTGCTTCGGCTTCTTCCTCAGCAGCCTTTCTCTTCTCTTCCTCCTCCTTCTGAACTCTCTTCATCTCCTCCTCCAACCTCTTCATCTTAGCTGCCTGCTCCTCCGTGATAGCCTTTAACTTCGCGTGCTTCTCAACCTCTTTCCTCTCCTTGTTTTCTGTCACTAGGGCGGCCATCTTCTCTTGCTGCTCCTGGGTGTAGGGGTTAGTGCTCTTCCCACTCCGGGTGTCAACCATGGTGATAGGTGCACAATCAGAACGATTCCACTCCTCACCACTTAGACTCTAACTCCTGACTGACAAACCTATTGACTTAATCTAAGACTCACAAAATCCGGACAGGGATCCTGTCAACTATGGTCTCTAGCCTAGACCTACACTATGGCTGTTACTACTAGACCTGTTGCTGATCAGGAGGCATTTAAGGAGATCCCCCGAACTCCTCAGGAATGATTTAACGTCGCAGACAGGACGACGCGATCAGCAGGTCTCTCAAGACTTAGACGGTCTGTTGTGCATCCCACAACTCGGATTTTGGGCCTACCGTGCCACACCGAGCAGCCCGCCGGTCAGTACCGGTCCTTGGGAGGGTTCGTGTCCTTCGGGACAATCGAGCCGTCAGACACAGCTTTTAGCCCTACTCATCCCGTGTGGGTTTGGTCAACAAGACCCTATCCTTCATCCACAGAGTACTATCACTTAGGACAAAAGAGACTCGATGCAGAAAGAATAGACAGACAGACTGGACTCAGCAAGTACCAAGGGGTGTGTGCACATCCATAGGGCGAGGGACAGGCTGAAGGCTTGGCGAGATGTTACCGGCTCCAGCTTGGTCAAAGTCTTGGTCAACGCCATGGTCAACGTCGTTCAACGCTGTGGTCAACTCCCGGTCAGACCCCGGTCAACTCCGGTCAACGCCTCCGGTCAACCCTCTCGATCAACCCTCCGGTCAGCTATGGCTGCCGGCTTCTCTTTCCTCACCAACCTCTTTCTTCCCTTTCACCTTCCTCGCCTCCTTTCACCCCGGCTGTCTTCTTCTTCTCTTTGTTTTTTTTTTTTTTTTTTGATCGGCCCTCACTTTACCTCTCGGCTATGGCCTCCTTCTCTCCCTTCTTGGTCTCTCCCCCTCTGTCCGGTCTCTCTCCCTCCTTCGTTACTCCGTGGTGACACTCCGCGGCTCTGGCCGCTTCTTCTTCCTCCACGTGGGACTGCACAGCTCGCTTCACAGGTATGTGACAACCAAACTTGTATAGCTCATCTCTCTCTCTCTCTCTCTCTCTCTCTCTCTCTCTCTCTCTCTCTCTCTCTCTCTCTCTC